GACTGCAGAGGTAGAGATTGGAGTGATGTAGCTACAAGCCAAGGCTTGCCAGGAGCCACCAGCTGGGAAGAGGCAAGGAAGGAATTTTTCCTGGAGACTTCAAAGGGAGCATGTCCCTGCCAACAGTTTGATTTTGGTCTTCTAGGGTTTGGAACTGTCAGAGAATAAATTTCTATTGTTTTAAGCCACCCAGTTTCTGGTACTTTGTTACGGCAGCCCCGGGAAGCTAATACAAGGAGCAACTTCCTATTCAGTCAATGGCTCCCAACTTAATGGGTCTCATGAGCAGGATGTGCCAGCGCAACTGCTAAGATTCTGGTAATGAAACATCTTGCGCAGGAGGGTGTGTTCAGCAGGGCCTTAGGGGCCCCGTCATGCTTTGTGGAACACTTAGTATTGCATCGTTTAATCCTGTGCAGCTTCCTGCCACATAACGGGGAGATTTCCTGCTCAACTGTCTTTCTGCTTCGAGGCAAAGATGCTGGCTGCCACCATGGCTTAGGCTGTTTCCTCTGATCCATCCCTTCAGCCTAAAATCTGAATAGCAGAAGGTGTTCCCAGAAGAATAGGCTCTTCATTATCTGCAGTCTGATTCTAGAGTATCCATCAAGAGCTTATCCAGAGTCCAGCATCACTAATGAATTAGAAAGCAAGCTCATGACTCAGCCCTCCTTTTTCTCCTGCTTGCCACTATAAACAACCAACAACTGAGAACGGTCCCATCCACAGCAAGGAGGAAGTCCCACTTGGGCCCAGGATGGTTGAAGGAAGTGAACCCCAAAGCTATCCTCCCTATTTATTGCTCAGTCCAAGACAGGGGAATGACTCTCAGTGCTTCCCCAAGGCTGGCGCCGAAGTTGGGGGAGCTCTCCTTTAGCTGTCTGCATGCTCTTTCCTGAGAACTGGACTGTAGCTTCGCCAAACTTGAAGGGACATCCAGGGGTCACGATCCCCACCCATTCATTTACTCATTCCACATTGATGAGGCCCCTGCTATGATACCAGGATTTCTGCATGGTATGGAGGTGGATACAAAGGAGAAAAGGGCAAGCCCCTGCTTCTGGAAAGTTCTGGGGGTGGGGAGGCCTATGGGTTAACAAGCAGACGCAAGAGCGCGTGGCGAGGACTAGAAAGGACAGTATGGTGGCGGGAGAGGGTGGGACTCACTCTATCCAGGAGAGGTGGGGAAAGCCTGCTGGAAGACAGCATATTTCATCTGCATCTTAAGGAAGGAGAGGCACTCACCTGCTGGGGAGCAGGAAGAAGGACATTCTAAGGGCTTGGATCCAGGTCCTCCTCTCCTAGGCAGCAAGCAAGCCCGTCTTGTGAAGCCTCTTCAAGAACAGGGAAGAAGAGCCCCAGATCATCTTGCAGAGGACAGAGGTAGCTCTTCCTTATCTGGCTTCTATGGGAGTTTCCCCAGTATCCTGACAAAGACGGTGAGGTCCTGCGAGAACAGCAGCTCCCTCACCTGCAGCCTGGTTTTAGATCCAGTTCTAAACCAGTGAGGTAGGGTGAAAACTTGATCCTGGTTTTAGTTCAGCTCCTAATAACTTAACACAAGCAAGTTGCTTCAGCTTTCTGGACCTCAGTTCTTCTATCTGTAAAATGGGGTGAAGGACAGGTTGGATCAGGGATCTCTGAGGTCTCTTCTGGTCTAACATTCCGTGGATGTGTTGCTCCTGGAAGGAAGTGTGAAGTGAGGATCCAGAGAGTGTTGAGTCAGAGGAGCAGACAATAGAGTGGGAAGTCACCCTCAGAGAGTAGGAGACAAAGACAGGGGCCTGTGGAAGAATTTGAAAAGGTTTTGTTAGGGTGGAAAGACTAGTAGGTGCTCACGGTGCTGGTGGAGAAAGATTTCTCATGCAGAAATTAGGATACATAAAAGTAAAAAAGTTTATTCTATCCTTTAGAAGGACAGAAAGAGAGAGAGATAGAGTACCACTTAAAATCAAGTGGCTCACTGATTTTAAGGGTGACAAAGAGAAAAAAAAATAGTGATGGCTGTCAGTTGATAACAAAAGCAACAGCAGGTAGATAACAAAAACTGCAAGGATGTCAAAGTCCAAGAGCTGGTTTCCTGCCTTTCCTTGGGGAAGGGATAATCACAGGAGATGTGACTCTGATTGAGGCTTGGAGCTTGTTCTCCTGCTGTTTATTTAGGAATTGTGTAAAAACAGATTCTCAAAAAACAATTTTGAAAGAGAGAGATTTACATCTCTTTTCCACCCATTCAGCCCTTTTCAGAAGTTGTGCAAAGCAGAACTCCTGCAGGGTACCTGTTAGCCAGAGAACTCACAGGATGGATCTGTAACCGTTACTGGGGAAATTGTGGGTTAGGTATTTTCCTGTTACTTTTGTAAGGCCGCCCCTTTCAGTTTAGTCAGAGGAGGAGGAGGAGGACAGCTGCAGCAATCCAAAGAAGTATGTGTGAGCCTGTGTCCACTGCCGTGGAAGATCAAGGACAAGGACACAGAAAAGCACGCTGAGCTTAGCAGGGAGAGGCCATGGCTGGCCTGGCCTTGGAAAGACAGGAGCCAGGTTAGGAGGGGCTAAGTATGAATGGACGGGGGTGGAGGATCTGGGCTTCCCTGGGCTAAACCGTGAAGCTGTGCTTTTGGGGAGGCCCTTACTTCCTCGCAGCTGCCTCTTCCTCGCTCTGTGTCCCCTGCCACTGTGCTGCCCACTGACTGCCCTAGTCCCCCCCACCCTGCCCCCATTGCTGCCTCCCAGGAAGTGTTCTGTGTGCCACAAACTCTCTCCTCCCAACTGCTTTGGTCTAAATATTGTGTCCCTCCAAAGTTCATATGTTGAAGTCTTAACCCCGAAAGTGATGGTATTAGGTGGTGGGGCTTTTGGGAAGGTGATTAGGTCAAGAGGTCAGAGCACTCATGCATGGGATTAGTGCCCTTATAGAAAAAGGTCCAAAGGAGCTCTTTCTCTCCCTCCACCATGTGAGGACACAGAGAGAAGGCGCCATCCACAAACCGGGCAGCAGGCCCTCACCAGACAGCGAATCTGCCAGTGCCTTGGTCTTGGACTTCCCAGCCTCCAGAACTGTGAGAAGTAGATTCTGTTGTTTGTAAGCCACCCAGTTTATGGTATTTTGGCATAGCGGCCCAAACAGACTAAGACACTAACCAAAACTGACTGGTTGGTGTCTTAGTCCATTTTCGTGTGACTGTTAAAGAATACCTGGGGTTGGGTAATTTATAAAGCAAAGAGATTTATTTGGATCACAGTTCTGTAGGCTGTACAAGAAGCATGGTGCCAACATCTGCTTCTAGTGAGGGCTCCAGGCTGCTTCCACTCATAGCAGAAGGTGAAGGGGAACTACAGGTGCAGGAATCACATGGTGAGAGAGAAACCAAGAGAGAAAGCGGAGAAGATGCCAGGCTCTTTTCAACAATGGCTCTTGCAGGAACTAAGAGTGAGAACTCACTCACTCCTGTGAGAATGGCATCGATTCATTCATGAGGGATCTGCTCCCATGATCCAAAGACTTCCCACGTGGCCTCACCTCCAACGCTGGGGATCAAATTTCAACAACAGACTTGGCAGGGCCAAACAAACCATAGCCAAACCATAACTCAGCAAAACTAAAACAAAAAAGCTAATTGACTGGATCCTGCTCTGTGCCAGGCACTGCATTAAAAGGCTTTGCATGTATATTAATTTTATCTTTACCGTAACCCTGTTGTAAATACTATTATTTCCCCCTTTTTGCAAATGAAGAAACTGATGTTTAGAGAAATTAAGAAACTTAGACTCACATAGCTTGAAACTGGGATTTGAAGCCAGGCAGCATGGCTCCAGAGCCCACGCTTTAAAGTACAGTGCTACAGAGCAGTTGATTGAACTAATTCACACCAGGATGTGAATGACTGACAGGTGACTGCATGGGGAATATGAAAATTAAATCTCTTTCATGATTTTGCACTCTAAAGAAGGAGATACAGAATCTAAAAGTAGGGCACACAACTACTGGTATTTTCTAGACAAGGCAGTTAGTCTTTCTGGGCTCTCAAATTATATACTACAGATTACCAGGAGTTCAAACATTTTGTCTATTAAGAAAAGAAAAGCTAAAGTTTGTCAATGAGCTTCAAAGAGTTTGTGAATAAAAGAAAGGGAAAAGGGCAGAGTGAATTTTTTAGTTTTGGAGTTTTTAAGGAGAGAAAGATCTGTGTGTACTTGAAGGCAGAGGAAAGGTCTCTGTGGAGAAGAAACCACTGGAGGTGGGGTGGGGTAGACAGAGAGAGAGAGGACATTTGCTGGGGCCCTCAAAGAATGAGGAGGGGGGAGGATCTAAGGTGTGGCCGAGGGTAGGGTGTGTTCACTCTGTTAAGCAGGGAAAACTCCTCCCATGAGTGCAGGGGGAAACTAAGGGGATGAATGAGGAAATGTGTTGAAATGACAAACCACGAGGACGATGGGAGAGCAAGATGACCACCTTGGTCTACCTGGCACGAAAACGAGGTGAGTTTCTCATCTGCCATGAGGGTGGAGAGAGGCTTGTGAATTAGGGAGCTCAAGCAGACAGACAGCACAGACATCTCATGAGGAGCAGATCTCTAGAGAGAAGATCTGCAGTGGGAAGGGTGGGCTTGAAGTCTGTTTTTGCAAGGCTCCGGTTTCCTGTGGCATTTCCTAATTTCTCTGTCCTAACTGCAGAAAGTCTCCCTGACCTCAGGCTGGGTCCTGAGGTCAGAACCCAGTGATTCCTGGCTGGGTCCAACAGTTGCCGTCTCCTCTCGTGACCCCCGTAACCTCCGACTTCTCTTGGTCTCTTTGAAGGCAGCCTGAACAAGTGCCATGATGCACCACGAACACATTTTCCTAAAGAAACCATCTGAGTCGCAACAAGTCCCAAGTCAGTGTCACCGAGAGCGTTTCTTTCCCCTGCCATCCTGGGAACACTTAAAACATAATGGCAGGCCACCCGTCTGTTTCCCGAAAACGTGAGTGTTCTCTAACTGGATTCCTTTTTGATATTTTAGGAGAAGGAGAAGAAGATGAAGGTGATGAAGATAGGTTGGACAGTCCAGTCAGGGGCCCGGGGCCCAGGGGCTCAGGTGGGACGGTGTCGGAAGCTCAGCTTGCTCGGAGGCTCAACAGAGTGAAAAACAGCCGGCGGATGCTGTCCAACAAGCCCCAGGACTTCCAGGTAGAAACAGCCCCGGTGCTCTCCATCTTTGTTTAGCCACCATTTGGCAATTGCAGTGATGCTAGGGGGGACCTATTCCTTTGGGCAATGGCCCAAAGAGTAAAAAGGGGTGGCAGTGCCCAGACCCAATAAGAAGATCTCTCTTTCTTCTGCATGCAGAAGTGGGTTTAATCAAGCCAGATGAGATTCTTCAGAGAAATGAAACTATAACCTTCCTTTGGTGGTAGGAAAAAGCTAATCAAAGAGTAGAAGCATAGATGTTGCCTTTTTCATAGCTCTGGGCACTTCCTTATACTTGGGAGACGGCTATGGGGTGAGTTAGCACATTACCAGGCTCAGGAGGAGCAGGTACGTGGCTGGAGGCTGGAGTCTGAGCAGTGACCTCTGCCCTGCCCTGCCCTTTCCAAGCCAACTTTGAACTATTTCAGCCCCACCACTACTCTTGGTTTCTACAACCCGACCCCAGTTTCCATCTTGGGCATGACCGCAGGTGGCCGCTCCCAGTCTGTGAGCTCCAGCATACTGCAAAGCCATCCTGGGCTGGTTTTAGCAGTCCTTCTCCTGAGGGTTCTGTTACACCATGTGTGGGAACGGATCGGTGACAATACCCCTTCTGTGCCCGCAGATCCGCGTCAGAGTGATTGAGGGCCGGCAGTTAAGTGGCAACAACATAAGGCCTGTGGTCAAAGTCCATGTCTGTGGCCAGACACACCGAACGAGAATCAAGAGAGGGAACAATCCGTTTTTTGACGAGGTAAATGGGTGGAGAATGCATGTTCCTGCTCAGTGGGTCCTGTCGGGAGGGAATCATGCGCGCAAACTTAACTGGTAAAGGCAGCACAGAGTTCCAGTGTTAAACAGAAAAAGTTGCGAACCACTGGGTGTTCAAATCACCTGGTCGGCTTTGTCACTGGTTCCCAGAGATGCTGGTCTCTTTCTGCTGTTTTATTAACAACTTCTCAATGATAGAGCCCGTGACGTCATTTATATCTACCTTTGCTTTTGCTAATTAGCAGGATGTACCTGAGGGACAACTTTGTGTGACTAAGTAATGCAGTTTTTTGGAGATGTCAAAACTTACTTGGCTATAAAAATAATACATCTTAAAAGAAAGCAATTTTGAGCAAACTGGGTTTTTTTTGGCCTCCATACTGAGAATGTAGCCTGCTTCTCTTGACTTCTTTTATAGCGCTCCTCAAAAATACTTAGTATCTCGACAGTCATCCCAAATGCCACTAAACTCCACAGCCGGACTGTGAAGAGAAGTGATAAGTTTGGGGATTTTTTTACTCTGCCGAGGAGACACATTTCAGAGATTCCCTGGGCCTGTGAGCCCGGGTCTTTCTTATCACAGTTTCTCTTCAGTCCCTACAGCCTCTAATCCCAGCTCCAGCTTTTCTTTTGTTCTACTTCTCTATTCACAAAATAAACCGGTTTCTTCTGCCCAGGGTTTGTGTTTCTTCCCCTTGGTGTACGCTGACCCCAGCTTCCCGGAAGTCCCCATTCTCTTCTCCCCTCTGACTTCCCCTCCTAAGAGGGATCACAGACAACACCAGGCTGCCAAGTACAGCAGTATAAAAGCTCTCTCAAGAGGTCAGGGTCACACCGAGATGGGGCACTTGGAATGGACTTCAGAGAAGGCTGGAAGAGAGTCACACAGGAGGGCAAGACTGGGTCAGAGGGAGGGCAGGGTGCTGGCTGACGAGGCCCAAGATGTAGACCTATCTAGGCACTTATAATGCAGGCTTCCTGTTTACTCAACAGCTCTCTGAGGAGCCCAGCAAGAATCTCAGCTTTCCTCAGAATTTTTCCATTTTAATGAATTTGGGGGGGATTAGATTTCTTGGCAAAAGGGAAGAAACAAATAACTAGGCCTCTAAACAGACTCATTTATAAACCAACAAAAGAATTTTACTAAAAATTTCTTGGTTTATGTAGATCTTCTTAACCAAGCGATTAAACTTGTTATCACCAATAATGGGACAAAAATGACGTGGTGTCCTGATATGATAGAATGGAAGTAATCAATATCACATGTGTCATGTCTTGTTAAATGATCAACTTGTATCCCACAGTGGGGAAACGTTCACGCAAATTCAGACTGTAGGGTAGTCTATGAAGCAACTGGTCTCTGGAAAAGAAATGAGAAACAAATAAAAAAGAAAATAGTATTGTTCTAGATAAAACGAAACCAAAGAGACACAACAACCAAATGCAATGTATGATCCTTGCATGGATCCTGGATTATTTTTAAAGCTAAAAAGAATTATTGAGGGGAGGACATTTGGAGAAATTTGAAAATTGACTCTATGTTAGATGTTAAATTTCTTGGATATGATAATAGTATTATGATTATATAAGAAGATGTCCTTGCTCTTAGGAGATATATGTCAATATATTTTGAAAGAATGAAGTGTCATGATATCTAGAACTTTCTTACAAATAGTTCATTTAAAAAAAGAGAAGGATAAAGCAAATGTCTCCAAATGGTAACAATTGGTGAACATAGTTGAAAAGTGGTGTTTACCTTACCATTCTTTCAACTTTCCTGTAGATTTGAAATATTTCTAAGTTAGAGAAAAAAGTCTCAGTTTGGATAATTGCTCAATATTTTTTTAGGATTAATGTTTATTGGCCTGACATGATATAACCTCTATATACCTAATATTCATCTCTCAAGAATCAACCTTCTTAAAATTAGCTGTTACAACGAGTTAAAATGTGATCAATATTGACTTGCCGAGGCACTAACATAATCTAATGGACAAAGTTATCTTTGAAGGTGTTTTCTTAGAAATAGTAAAATTAGAGTCACTAGACACAAACAATACAGCTAAAAATGTTAGAGAATTAAATAGACACCTTAGGTCACGCCAGCCTAAGCACCTATTTTAGCAAGAGTTGCAACATATATTAGCCTTGGATCTTTACTTCATTTAGCTTTTAGATACCTAGTCCCAAATAAACAATTTTAGTTAGTTAAATAAATGCTATATTTGTTACTCCTTTTTCCTTTTTCCAACATGCAGAAGTGGGTTTACCACGATGCTTCAACTTCAGGGCCTTTTCCAAGGCCCTGCAATGTGTTCACACGGTTAAACCTAATTTTGAACTTGTGTTTTGTACTTTTTTTAGGAGGGCACCCAAAATTGTATCATCAGATCCCACTAAAGGTGAATCCCCTGCTAACATTGAAACATTTTCCCTGTTGTTTTGACAGTTGTTTTTCTACAATGTCAACATGACCCCTTCTGAGCTGATGGATGAGATCATCAGCATCCGGGTAAGTCTCAGCGGTTGGGAAGGCGCCGCCCACTCGCTGCCAACCAGAGCCCATCACCTCTTCACTCTTGTTCTTTCTTCCAGGTTTATAATTCCCACTCTTTGCGGGCAGATTGTCTGATGGGGGAATTTAAGGTAGGTGACAAAGTCTGCTTCATTCAACTTACATAAAGATGAGAACTTTCATAATAGGAAATCTTATTCCTGGGTACCCATCTTGGTGACATCTAAGGGTCACGTGTGAGAGATCAACACCATGATCCTTGCCAAGTGCTGCCTGGGGCTTACTGACTTCTAAAGTCCAACACTTAGCAGTGCCCCAAAGCAAGATGCCCTGAAGCTGCCACATCAGGGCCTTGCCAGGGTTCAATCTGTGACTGGAAGGAAATCCATTTCTACAGCAAGAAGCCCACCATCCAGCTCCACTTAGCAGTGGCCTTAGAGCTCCATCTATTAATACAAAGCCAATTATAAGTCTGGAGTATGAAAGGAAAGCCAACCCAGGCAAGAGATTCAGGGTGCTTTTCTAAGAAACTTTCAATGAAATTAAAAGACAAATACCTGGTTGGCCTTTTTCCAACAATTCTACCTGGAATAGGCTGCCTCCTGAAGGAACGAGACAGTCAGTGGAAGTCCTCAGCCAAGCAGACCTGTGTTCATACCCTGTCTACCACCAATGAGCCACATGTCCCAGGGGTACTCACTTAACTTCTCTAATCTTCACCTGTAAAATGGGGTCATTGTGAAGATTAAATGGGATAGTATATGTAAGTACCTAGCATAGCACCTGACACATTGAACTGCTCAGTCAATGGCTATATTAATATTAGCATTAGCTGGAGGAAGAAGGGGAGGAGGATTGGACAGAAAGTTGCGCAGGTGAATTTCTGTACAATGACCAATGATCCCAGTTTGCCTGGATTTTTAATGCTAGAACTGGGAAAGTCCCTAGCAAACTAGACGTGTTGGTCACCCTATTTCCATGGTCCCTTCCAGCTCTAAGACTAGTTCATTCATTCAATAGTGATTTATTGAGGGTCTTCTGTGTGCTACACATCAGACAAGGCATTGGGGATGCAGAGAGGATAAGATAGAAATGTTGGGTGTCAAAAGCATTATATTTAAATATTAATCATGATGCTTTCTTTATAGTGACTAGACTGATTTTAAAATTACTCAAACTACTTTAAATTATTTTTTCCCAGATTGATGTTGGATTCGTTTATGATGAACCTGGTAAGTAATGTTCTCTCCATCAATTTGAAGCCTTAAGTTCACGCCTTTTGACATTGAAGAAGATTCTAGGAAACAGTACAATTAGGGGGTAGGGCACAGCAGTCAAGGAATTAAAGTCAAAAAAATCTAAAAATATGATTTTTTTTGATGGGGAAAGAGGCAGATGCTTAGTGGGGATAAATATTAATAACAGTAGCTTAGTACAGATGTCTAATTTCTTTTATCTTAACATTCATAAGTAAGTAATTTCTATGTTTGTGAGGATATTTTGATCTTATCAAAATCAGATTATAAAATTAGTTGATCCAGCTTAGAGAGTCTTGTTTGAGTCACACGAGGACAGGATGGTGGGGGCGGGGTGGAGGAGAGCCCAGAACAGAGGACATTAACATGGAGACTCCGCTGGGAATTTGGTGTGCACCATGAGGCTTCCAAGAAAATGCTTATTTATCTTACAACAGATGAAATCACAGACCTGTCAGCATCTCTTTAGAGTGTCCCTGTCCTTCTACTCCCTCTTTATTTTAGGTCACGCTGTCATGAGAAAATGGCTTCTTCTCAATGACCCAGAAGATTCCGGCTCAGGTGCTAAAGGTTACATGAAAGTCAGCATGTTTGTCCTGGGAACTGGAGACGAGCCTCCCGTGAGTCCCTAAACTCTCTCCCTTTTACACAAAAGAAGACCACGAATTAAGCGTGTGGGCACCAGGAACTGTGAAATGGAGCACAGCTTGTAATTCATGGAGTGATAAGGGAATTCTTCATCATGGAATTACCATCGTAGCTCACCTAGACTCCTTCCTGGTGTCCATGCGTGAGCATTTAATTCAGAAAAGATTGGTGTGTTTTTCCAACTTCCTTGCCTCATTTATAAAGACTGATTTTATCTACAGAGCAGGGCTTGCCTGGAGAGTCAGGCATCACTCCCTAAATGGTTAGTGGTTATTCTGGGAAATTGGGCAGCAAACTGGAGAATAGTGAGTGGCCAGCGAGATTTGGAGCATCAGGAACACACACGCACTTTACTATTTGGTGCTCATCAAATTACAAAAAGACACAGAAACCTATGAGCATTGATTTTTGGAGAGCATTTTTTTTTTTTTGAGACAAAGTCTCACTGTGTTGCCCAGGCTAGAGTGCAGTGGCGTCAGCCTAGCTCACAGCAAGCTCAAACTCCTGGGCTCAAGCGATCCCCCTGCCTCAGTCTCCCGAGTAGCTGGGACTACAGACATGCACCACCATGCCCGGCTAATTTTTTCTATATATTTTTAGTTGTCCAATTAATTTCTTTCTATTTTTAGTAGAGACGGGGTCTCGCTCTTGCTCAGGCTGGTTTCGAACTCCTGAGCTCAAATGATCCGCCCACCTCGGCCTCCCAGAGAGCTAGGATTACAGGCGTGAGCCACTGCGCCTGGCCTGGAGAGCAGTTTTGAGGTTGAAGGAAAACTGGTGGCTGAACTCTTAAGCCCAAAACACAGGAAATCCTAATGGAAACAGTTCTGATTGGTTTCATTTTATAAGCATTAATTTGGCTCTTTCCAAGTGCTGCTTTTCTATATGTGTAGTTTTAATCATGTGTCCCCAATAGTCTGACAAACAAGATCGCGATGGCGACTGTGACGACGTGGAGAGTAATTTGTTACTCCCTGCTGGCATCGCCCTCCGGTGGGTGACCTTCTTGCTGAAAATCTACCGAGCTGAAGATATCCCCCAGAGTATGTATGGATTTAATCTTGCCCCAGGATTATTAGTTGTCTACGTGATGAGATGTGTTAAACTCATACTCTGAATAGCGATCCGTGTTCCCTACCATGTGTTTTCTTTCTTTCCTATCGCGTGTTTTTCATGGAATTATCTTCATTCATTCTGGCCCCACCGAAAGCTACCTGAGCATGTTGATGGCGCAGCCAGCTGGTTGCGACCCATGTTCCTGTTGTGCACCTGCTTTGGCCCATTCCGCTCTCTTTCATCTTCCGCCTATGTCCTATATTTTCCCCTTATTCTAGAGAATGCTAAGGAGAAACGAACAGTCAGCACTTCCAATCCCTTTCAGACCAAATTAAAATGTGAACTTTTATTTTCAAATAAATGTGTTTGCTGACTATTAAAAATAGCTGAGCGAAGAGTGGTAAAGTCCCAACAACTAGAAGTCTATTGCTGTTGTATCATGAGATACGTTTAACAAGAGATCGGATACATTTAGGAGAATCGCTTATAGTGATTCCATTTCCAGGCACTAGTCCAGTTCCTCCTCTGTCGCTGTTGCCATCTGTTCTGCCTTGCTGAGCCTGCCTGCTTCCTGCTGGGCTCGGGGACACAGAACCCTTCTCCAAGTCCGCAGGAGGCAGCACCCACTGTACAAACCAGGGATCTCTTCAGGATTTGTTACTTCTCCTGGGAACTCTTTCCCCCACCCCACCCCACTCTCCACTTTTTTTTTTTTTTTTTTGAGACAGTCTCACTCTGTTGCCCGGGCTAGAGTGCAGTAGCGTCATCATAGCTCACTGCAGCCTCAAACTCCTGGACTCAAGCAATCATTCTGCCTCAGCCTCCCGAGTAGCTGGACTACAGGCATGAGCCTCTGCGCCCAGCTACTTTTTCTATTTTTAGTGGAGATGGGGTCTCACTCTTGCTCAGGCTGGTCTCGAACTCCTGAACTCAAGAGAGCCTCCTGCCTCGGCCTCCCAAAGTGCTAGGATTACAGGTGTGAGCCACCGCACCTGGCCTCTTCTCCCTTTTTTAAGACCCTGTAATGTCTCCCCGTACCATCTTTCCCTCAGAAATATCTCAAATGAAGTAAATAAATTAAATCTTATATTATACTTCCTATGCTGAGCTATTTAATTAATTTCTATTCATTTTTGAGTTTGTTGAAATAGATCATAGTTGATTAAATGTGTTATTTAGGATTATGCCAAGTTTTCTTGAATTCTCTGCAAAAGGTAGACTAGATCGATATTATTGCAACCTAAATCACCTTTTCCAAATTGAAACTAGGCCTGAGTTTGAGATTTGCCTCTTACCCTGACTGAATGAACTTTATTCTGATTTTTTTCCCTCAATAAATGATTGAGTCTCGACATAATAATTTATCAATTTATTTTTCAAGGTGCTCCTGTTGATTTAAAACTTTGTGAAGAAAACATTTTCTTTTCCTTTCAACTAAGACAAAAAGAATTTCTGCTGCTAGTTCTTGCCACCCAGGAGAACAATTCTTGTTCCAACTATTTTTACATAAAAGAGAAATTTTTTAATTTTGCTGAATGATTTCTGCTCTTTTAAGAAAATCGAATTCAATTTCTGCTGTGTGATGTATTATTTTCCAGTGGATGATGCCTTCTCACAGACAGTGAAGGAAATATTTGGAGGCAATGCAGATAAGAAAAACCTTGTGGATCCTTTTGTAGAAGTTTCCTTTGCTGGAAAAAAGGTTTGTATGTGATCTAAATGCAGATGCCTCTAGGAATAAATATTTCAAACACTGTGCTTTCCTTGGAGTGAATTCCTGCTTACTGTTTGTTAAAACAGCCCCCTGATGAGCGGGGACCTCTGCAGGAACACAGATTATCTGAGTCTGAACACGCCAGACTTCTCCACAGGTTTATTTTGGAGTGGAAAGTATGCAGAGCTCAAATTAGAAAATTCAATCTTTTGAAAGATTAGAATAGCGAAAGCTACCACTGAATTTTTGGAATTATTTTTCAGGCCCACGCATTATATTAGTCTGAGGCAAGCTCCCTAGCCAGCCGCAAGCATCCCTAGTAAATATCATAGAGTGTAGACCCTCACCACCCAGCTGCTCCCTCCTGCCATCCCGCTCCTCTGAAAAAATCTGGGAGATTCTTGGTGTAGGGACAACTTTAACCTACTGAGATTGTCAAAGATTCGAGAGTGAGATTCCTCAGTAGAAAAGCAACACATCATGGACAGTTATAGGCATGAAGAACTAGCATCTTCTATGTGTTTGAACCACGTTTTTGTGAAAGCAAGATTTGGAAAACCACCCACACACATGACTAGGTATTTTTTTCTAAAAGTGTCAGTGGGGTATGGTAGAAAAACCTTCGGATCTGGGGCAAAATGAGGCCTGATTTCAATTCAGGCTTTACCCCACTCAATAGGTAGGCAAATCCTTTACCCCTCTGACTTTTGATTTCCTGAAAATGGAGATAATAATAATCTCTTAGGATTGTTGAGAGGGTTAATTAATTTGAGAATTAATTATTGTGTGCCTAGTGGGTACCAGATTCTGTCCCACGTGCTGGGATATAGAAATGAGCACATGGAACAGCCACTGCTCTCATAGAGCTCACTTTGGAATAGCAGAGACAGACAAGAAATAAGCAAACAAGTAATTGAATAATTTCAGATGGGGCTAAGTGTTATGCAATGATGGGTGTAGGGGAGGGGTGTTTAGCAAGATTATCAGGTGGGACAACTTTGAGGAATGTCAAATGTCAACTTTGACATTTGAGCAAAGGCCTGGATGCACAGACATCTGGGGAGCAGGGGCTTCCAGGCAGGGAGGCGAGCAATGGAAAGGCGCCGAGGAGGAAACACACTTGCAGCGAAGGAATATCCATGTGGCCGCGGTGGAGCGAGCCCGGGAAAACTAAGAGATGCGGTCAGAGAGAAGTGGTGTTGGGACAGGTAGGGCTTCATCGGCCAGGAGGGACCTGGACTTTATTCTGTGTGTACTTTGAGAGCTCACTGAAGATGTTACACAGAGTAGTGACATAAAAGTCAGGAGGCAAGAGAGGCAGTCGGGATCCAGATAGGAACCGCCTGCAGGTGTCTGGGAGAGAAAGGATTCCAGGATCTGCTTGAAGATGGAAGTGTCAGCGTTTGCTAATGGACAGGGTGAGGCACGTGATGGGGGACAGATGTTACGGCTGACTCTGGTTCCGACCCTGAGCAACTGGGTGAACAGCGATGGAAAGACTGGAACAGGAGTCAACTTGGGGTAGGGGGGCAAGGAAGCTGGTGGGGGAATAAAAAGATCTGTTTGGGTGTGTTAATGATGAGATGCTTATCGAACGGTATATATTAAGTGCTCATAAACCTTAACTCTTGCTTCGTTACATTAACCTAATGTTAGAAATCTAACACTTGAAAACTAATGAAGAAATCATTAAAAACAAGGTTTTAGCTTATAGAAGAAGCAAAGATCAGCATTAAACTCATTTATTTTACCAAATCATTAGCAAGAAAAATAAAGTTTAACCAGGTTACAAAGTATATAACTAATAAGTAAATTGGCAGAGTCATAATCTAGCATGCATATATTGTAAATTTTAGACATTAGAAAGTTGAAAACCTACAGTTTTGCTTTGGTGCTTTTGCAGGTTTGCACAAATATAATTGAGAAAAATGCAAACCCAGAGTGGAATCAGGTCGTCAATCTTCAGATCAAGGTTTGGCTTTCTTTTCTTTTAGAAAAAGTAAAAGTATTTACTTTAATAGTTACTGGATAAATAGAGAAATAACTACTTTTTCTGTTTCATTTTTACAGTTTCCTTCAGTATGTGAAAAAATAAAACTAACAATATATGACTGGTGAGTTAAAAATAGACTTATGTCTAATTCAGCATTAAGGAGTTAAACATTTGGATATTGTCAAACATTATTGTAGATGGTCTAACTTTCCAGTATATTTACTTTCCTTCCAGAGGAAGGGGATAAACTGCTGTTGGGGTTGGGTGTTTTCTAAAAAATTTTTAAAAAACATTTAATAACAGTGTTATTACAGAAAAGCTTTGGATATTTTGGTTCAACTGCTCATAAATAAAAGAAGGGGAAAATGATCTGAAATGCCCCAAGATAAGAAATCAAGTATTTAGATATCATCAGGCTGTCCAAAATAGACTTCAGAAATAGAGTTCTGAAGAATAGATTATTCCCAAGTCCATTTCTTGGGAAGAATCATCAAAATATTCTGAGAACAATTCTTTGCCTATTGCTAGAAAGGAAAATGAATGAAGCTACCTAACTGAAGGCAGAGAAAATTCATTATAATGGTCCACTGGAAGTTTTACTAGACCAGACTCCTAGTACTGATTGGCCATCATGAGACCATTCTTGGAAGGTTCTAGTTGAATGGAACATTAACTGGCAGCCCTTAGCTCTCTGACAATGGAAACATGGCAAATATCATTATCACCACCACCATCATCATCATCATAATTTATCATGTTAGTTACCACCATTTTTTTGAGCACTACCAAGCCTAGCACTGTGCCAAGTATCTTACCTACATTATCCCATTTATTCTTTAGAGTAACCCTATGGAATAGAGACTACTATTAGCTTCATTTTACAGATGAAGAAACTAAGGCTCAGACAGTTAGGTAGCTTCTCACAGTCATTTGGAAAGAGACCCATTTGGGCTCCTGCCCTGTCTGGCCGTCTCCACCATATCTCCTTTGGCCAAATGTATTTAACTTTCTTGTTAGTACCTTATCAGCACTATGGCATCAGGCATGTGGGGAGGAGGGGAGAGGATCTCATTTTGTCCAAGGACCACAATTAATTGAGGTCCATAGTTGAGCCCTGAGGACAAATCGCCCCCTTCCAATGAGGATAAGCTAGTTTTAAGGCATGTGGGACCCTCAGGCCACCTACAGAATGTGCTCCAGTGCACACAGGAACCCTCCGGAGTATGGGTTTGGAACCTACATAGCTCAAGTGACCACTCTGGCCTATGGCTCTGCAGTGGGCTGATTGCTGATTGAGCCATCCCAGAGTTACCTGTAGTCACTACATTTTTTTTTTTCTGACCTGGTCTGCTCTCCCCAAAGCAATAGTGTAGCTTAGGATGCACAGAGAGACCCAGTTTAACTGGGAAATCCTTGGAGCCAGATCTTAGGTTACATATCCTGTAAGATATCTGCACAACTGAGGGAAAGATAAAGATTCTTTAATTGTAGTCTAGACAATATTATCTGGATGGACAGGAAAGATTCAAACCCCATGCATGTGATTTAATACCCATAAATAATAAATTTTTCTTATGCAAATTGTGTTTAATTAGTCACTTTCTATAACCTAATATACTTTGCTGTAATCCTTCCCGAAAATACTGAACCTTTGCTCCCTCTTATGGTGCCCTGGACTTCAGGGTGGGCATGCCACTAGATGGAATGAAGAGAAATGAAGCAGAGAGAATGTTCGTATTTAATAGTATGCGCCCAGTCTGAGACCATGTTATGGTTCAGGCTCACAGGCTGTCTAAGGTACTCGCAGAAGGACACACAAAGTTGTATATACTTGTAGCAGGGAAACGTGTCCCCACAATATAGGTAAGATTTAGGTTCTAAGTAAGCAGCTACACTCTGAGAAACAGCATCTATCACATGGTTGGTGCTCTATAAATATTGGAATTGAATTAGAAGGAAATTTTCTCCCTACAATGGAACCTTAGATATAACTCATTTATAATTGTTAGGCCATCATAATAATTAAAATGAACATGGTCAAATAAGGTCTATATACCTATTTTGTATAACATGATTGATTGCATTATACTCATCATGTAATGTGCCTGTAATTGATTGATTCATTGCATGACAATGGTAATGAGTGTGGCCATAGGCAAATCCCTTGACCTCTCTGTAAAATCGTAATTTCGTAACTGCAGAATGAATTACCTGACTAGATCAGTGTTTCTACAGGGTGGTTGGAGGACCACCTGCATCAGATTCAACTGGTATATATTTGCTATAAAAGCGCACTCTTGGTGCCCACCCCAGGCTTACTGAATCAGAAGTGTGGGCAGGAGATGAGAGTGGGGAGTTTCCAGGTGCTCCTTAAGTACAGTAAAACTTGAGGCCCACTGGACATGATGAGTTCTGAGGTCTGGGGCATTTTCCAGCTCTACCTTTTTTATTATTGAAATGAAGACATGTTTTCATAGGTGGAGGCCTTAACCTGTTCTTTTATACAGGGACCGTCTTACTAAAAATGATGTAGTTGGAACAACGTATCTACACCTCTCTAAAATTGCTGCCTCTGGTGGGGAAGTGGAAGGTAAGTCACTCAGCAGATTTGGAACAAGATAAGGTACAGAATTTCTGGAGAAAGAATGGACTGAGGTAGCCACCTGGCGATAGACTTGGTTTCTTAAAAGCCAAATGTGAACCATTTCTGTGATGTTTTGGTGATGGCCCGTAAACAATTAATAATCGAAACAACTCACAGTTCGAGGATTTTAGCTCTCTTGCTCCCATCCCAAACCTCTTTCCCAGTAGCTGTTTTATTAATTTTTGAGTGTCAATACAGAGTGCCAGCACCTTATTTTTTGGAGTGGCATTGACACAGGTCCACCCAAATGCAATGTAATATTGTCTTCTCAATGGAATCCCTTGGTAGGAACAGCGAGGGCAGATGCCAATGAACCATGTAATCTCCACTCCCTAAAATAATGTGTATTTTGTTTTCATTCTCACAAGCATTGGCAGCCAATACACTCTTCTTTTTGTTGTTTTCCGTACTTGAGAATTGCTTGCCTATACCTGGCACTATGGTTCTGTGCATATGCCAGAAACTGTAGTAGTGAACGAAAGAAAGAAGTTAAAATGATGAGAGAAAAAGCTTAATGTTAACACATTAATACCAGCAATATCTTTTGTTACCAAAACAAAAATTCTTATAATTGCCAATATATCAAATATATTGAGAGATTAAATGCATTTTAAAAAGTGAGAGAATTTGAGATAAAAATTTGTCTTGGGAAACTCAAGGTCCCTCTCATCTTCAACTTGTTTAAGGTGTTTTATGGGTTTTGAGGAAAAAAAAAAACATTTGTTAATCAAAGCAATAGAGAACATGAATAAGAACCTGGGTTATATTAGATATATTATATTAGATATTAGAGAAATGGTGAAGAAGATATAGATTTCCTCTCCCAAGAAGCAAAAAAATGAAGGCAATTAGAAATTCCAGGAAAAACAAAGAGGTGAACAAAGAAGATACAGTACCGCGTGGCATTATTTTAAGCAAATGGTAGAAAGTAGGAAAGAGATTCCATCTGAGCATTCTCTGCTGTGTAGCGGAGGTATGATACTGAAGCTACAATGAAGGAAATGTAATCACAACCCTTCCTTTTCTCTGCAGAGAACAATATTTATATGGTTGCTAGAATGTAAGCATGATTTATTGTTTTTGGATTTTTTAAATTAAACCTATAGCCAAAGCTCAGAACGGAGTGTAAATGTCATTACCCATCACAATGTAAAAGTGAATGTATGGAAAATAGAGATGAGAAGTGGGAGGAAGAAGGAGAGAGGTAAGGGCAGGAAGGCTAGTAGCCTCTTCTTTTTAAGTCAAGAACCCAGGTATAATGACTACAGATGAAATCATAAAGGTAACCAATGGAGGAATTAAAAATCATGCTAAAACTATTATATATGAGAGAAAGGTAAAAATGAAATCCATTTATTATTAGTAAGAAGTTATTAAATAACATCTAAAGATAATTATTCAAGAAATATTGGTATAAGCATTTTACTTAGTGCCATCATGGTAACATCCGGAAGAACTAAAACCAGAAGCTGTTACAAGCAATTTTAGCTGATGTCTCCGCGACCTTCTCTCATTGCAGACCCTGTAGACAGTCTGTTGCGGGGCCACAAAATACCAAGCTGTCATTCTCCCCACCCCTGACCCCACAAAAGAAGTAAACCATGCTTTGAATAAAAGGATGTACAATAAACTACAGGCCTTTGCTTACACAGTGTTAGTCTAAATTTACTTGGATTTTCTGGCCTTGGTCCCAACTAAGTCTGCCTTAAGACAAGTAAATGTTTTATTAAAAACATAAAATACTGGTTAACTTCACCAGGCCTCCTTTGGCCCTGGAAATGATCTCTTCTCAGATGGCTGGCTGCCTGGGGCTGGCGAGATTGCTGTGGTGGTTCTGTCACTTGTCACAAAGTTTTGAGCCATTTTGCATTTAACCTGTGAGAGTTGTATAAATTACAAAAGGGTCAGGTGATTTGGGTCTGAATTTGGGATTTTTCTGGTGTTGCTAAACTACTTACCTAGCACGGGATTTGATTAACTTTTTCAATGCCTGTTTTATAATGATTGTGTTTCTCTTGTTGTTTAACCAATAATATTTTTACTGTGTAGATTTATCATCCTCGGGAGCTGGGGCTGCATCATATACAGGTTTATGCTTTGTAATTTTGCTGTCTGTTAGATCTTCCTATCTACTATTATCTTATTAAAGATATATTAATTGATTGCCTTTCAAACTTTTTTTTGACATTTTTCTGTCTCAAACGTTATTTTGCTGGAGTAATAATTATTGTGTGTGTTGTGTGGTTGTCCTGTCTGGCTGAGCTTAAAACTATGCTAATCAGGCTTTGCTCTATGTCTCTTATTGTTACATAGATACACACCATCATCCTATTTGACTTCGTTGCAAATAATTGTGAGAGATAACATTTTTTGTTATTGTTTATGTTCAGTAGATACAGTTATGGGGCACTAAATCAATTGTTCTGAAATGTATGAAGTGATTACCCCCACTTGCAATGTGAATCTCTAGGTTGGAAGATACTGAACGCTTTCCAGTTTGTGCCTTGAAAGTCTTCACCTCCCAAATATGAAAGAGCATAACGTGTCCTTTGGTTTGCACAGAAATGGCCATTTTTTGCAAGTTTGCTCAATACTCTCACACACTTAACCATCACAACTCTCCCAGGGCAGGTGTTATATTCCCCTAATAGCCGAGGGCTCTGAGGTTGAGAGAGGTTCATCATCTGTCAAATAGGCATGATCACCGCTAATTCACATTTCTCTTTCTCCCTTAATTTTAAGTGTAGAGTTGGAAAGGGCCATAGAGGTTATCTGGTCAGCTTCTCACCCGTAGCAGGAATTATCTTGACAACATCCTAAAGGACAGGCTGAGACCTTTGCCTCAACATTTCTTCTGGTTTTCCCTAATACTATCTGTCCCATTGTTTGTCATCTCTAATTCACAGAAAGTTCTTCCTTACACTGCGTGAACCGAAGTTGGCTTCCTTGCAATTCCCAGCAGTGGTCCTAACTCTGCTTTCAGAGACAAGTCCATCCCTCTTCCACACGGGGTCCATTCAGACCTCTGAAGTCAGCTCTTACATTTCCCCACCCTCACCCACACTCTCCCCTTCTTCCAGCTCTTTCCTTACATTGCCCTCAAGTGCCCTTTATTGGGCAGTAGTCTTGCTAAGACCAGGTAGCAGGAAGTAAGGAGCTTATCAGATGATCACCAGAGATAGAAAATAATAAATGGGGATCTTCTCATCACTTACGAATATCATATGGTCTTACAACTGTAGGCAGGCAGTTCATGGTGACATATAAAATTTTAAAATGTCATGTATTTTTAACGGCATCTGCCAGATTTATACTAAATGTTTGAGATTAAATGACATTTTTTAAGAACAAAGTTAATCTGATACATCATTTAAATGCCTTTCCAAAACAATATAACCTTTTATCCCAATTGCCAATGACATGTCTAATACGATGCCAATTATAAACTTGCAAAAAATGTGAAGATCAACTTGAGAGTCTTTATATTCTTTCATTCTAATAGCATTATCTCTTAGTAAGAATAAGTTTACCTGAGCTACCCGCAAAATGTTTTTTATTTAACATTTTATAGCAATAAGAAAAGAGAAATATGGCAAGTCCCATAGTGCTTATAATGTGCACTAATACAACTAATGCACAAAATGGAGGAAAATAGTCTCACCTACCTAACTAATAACTAATATTTATTTCAAGAGATTAAATGTTAAAAGCCTAAAATCTAATGATGGTGTTTTCTCCCTCAGTAAATACAGGAGAAACAGAGGTGGGGTTTGTTCCAACATTTGGACCTTGTTATCTGAACCTTTATGGAAGCCCCAGAGAGTACACGGGATTCCCAGACCCCTATGATGAGCTGAATAGTGGAAAGGTTAGTTTCTCAATTAAAGTTGTTATTAAGGAGCGCTGGTTAATGTGATTCCTTCATTATAATGATTATAATTAAGTATCATATTTAGGGGGCATCCCTTCCCCACCACATGGACCCATCACGAGACTGATCAAGAGCTGAAGGAGAGAAGTCTTGTGTACTCCTCAAGTCTTGGAATGCAAGAATAGGAGAGGGTCCTGGAGATCATCTCAATGCAATGGCCTTGCCTCCCACAACTTCTACCTTTATGGCAGACATCAAAAATCGATGCTGGCTCTCTTTCCTAATAAGCCACTGTGCTGCCCTAGAATTCTTTAAAACACCATGTTCCAGGAATGTATCAATTGGCACTCATGTGCCCACTGAAACCCTTTGTCATTCCTGATCTGATCTAGCCCCTTCATTTCATAGAGGAGGACATGGAGGCTGAGAGATGGGAGATGCTCTTTCTACCACAACAGAAGCCAAATGTCTCTTAGTTATCTCCCAAGGTTCAAGGAAGGGACTAAGCTAGAGAGAGGAGGGGAAAGGTGGAAGACCAGCTGTGGAGGTGGTGCCTGCCCTTCCTCTCTGGAAGTGTCTACTGCCAACAGTGCTGGATCTGGGGGAAGGAGTATCCGCTCTTTCTCTTCATGCTCAATCACATCTTGTCCGTCTTCCTCCTCTACTTCCTGGCCACTCTGAGACTGGCCCCGATTGCCAGCATAGCAGCCTCCCTATTCTGAGGAGAGGAGAAAAGGAGCTGAGTTAACACAGACAGATGCAGGGCTGCTCTGCTGGAGCCAAGTGAGGGAGACTTAGAGCCCTATCCACCCTACCCCCAAATCTCTGGGAACCCCTTCCAGACCAAAAGCATGATTTCAAGGCCTCTGACCTTGGTCATGGCTAAGATCCCTTTCAGCCCTAGCACCCCGTGGCATTCTTTGGGATTCTCCCTAAAGTTGGTTGCTCTCCTTTCAAATACCAAAGATCTGAATCCAGCTGGGAGAGTTGCTGACTAATTCATTTTGAAAGTTAGGGCCATGGGAAGGAGGAATTTTTTGTAGCTGAGTTCTTTTTGCTATTGTTCATGCCTAGAGGAATAATCTTGTGTTGTTGCCTTTCAGGGAGAAGGAGTTGCCTACAGAGGCAGGATCTTGGTTGAATTAACCACTTTTCTTGAGAAGACACCACCAGATAAAAAGCTTGAGCCCATTTCAAATGATGACCTGCTGGTTGTTGAGGTATGTAAACAATGCATGGTACAGAAAAGGGGACATCCAAGGACTGAAGAGTCAGCTGGGATGAAGTTGGAGGGAGACCTGAGTCATAGCAAGTGCCCTTGACAATCTCTGGACGTGTCTACAACAGCCCTGTCAGGGTGGTGAGACTTGCTTCATCCTTTGAGATGTTGATACCCTACTGAAAACTGGCAAGAGCACTGATACCCCCAAGCTGAATGGCCCATTTGCTCACTGGGGTTGGGGGGTTATAGGGAGGTGGCCACAAGAGCCACCACTCAATGCCATAGGTGCCACCACTCATCATTTCTGTTTTCAAGATGGCTGGTGTGTCTCAGGCTCCCCAGCATGTGAGGGCATGCTTCCTCAAAGCCTGCGTTACAATGGCTCTGAGCCCCCATTCCTCGTTGAAGACAGGAAGTCTTCCCAGTTCAACCCCCTCCCCCACACCAGCTATTTCTGAGAGTCCCAGATCCATGCTCACGTGTTCCACAAATCCGAATTGTTGCCAGAGCAGCCAGCTCCCTGGTGCCTCTCTGCCCAGGGACACTCCTTGCTGGGTTGTAAGTCACCCCAACCCCCAAAGCATCCCACAGCTGCTGCTGCCTCCCTGTCACCCCCCACTCCAAGTATGGGAAAGGCTCTGCTCTGATTTTCCCACATTACAACAGAAACCAAACGGCAACTTTAAAAAAGCTTTTACTTTCAGTTCCGGGACAAGAATAGGAAAACATGGTGAAATAGTGACAACATGGCTGCTAAATCGGTGATTCCCTGGCAGACAGCCTCCCTGTCTCCTTCCAGCCTGCCTCCTTGTGGCAGACTCAGCTCTCTGTTCTCCCCAAACTCCAGTCATGCCCTGAATACATCTTCATCTCAGTCCAGGCCCAACTGCCACAAGTTCTCAAGAGAGCAAGAGCTTTCTCCTTCCTTCCAGTTGTCTAATGTCAGCCTGAGAGAAGATCTGCCCCTTTTCAGGATGATTGACAGGGAGAATATCCACTCCCTTTAGAGGAAATGCTCCCTTCTCTACCCCTCCCCACCCCCTAGCAATGTGGCCTTGCTCATCACTTCTCCAGAAGACAGTTATATTAGGTTAGCAGCCAAAGCAGTGTATTCTGGATTCTTTAGTCTTTGTGCGTTTGGAATATCAGTAGTCAATTCTTGAGCTGCGTCGATTTCAATCCTGTTTCTTTCTTTAAGAGGAAAGGATCATGCTTTGTATTCTTCCTGAGATTGTCTCTCTCTCTATGCCTCAGAGCAAACCACAGGCCATCAGTCTAACTTCATACAGGGAAAAGAACAATTCTCTCCCCACATTAGCAAAGATTATAACATAACCCTGGCTAAAACATACATTTGAAAGTTTATCAAATGGAACAGTTAAATTCAGGTTTTTTAAGTTGTGAAAGAAGGCAGGTGCAGCAGTGCACACCTGTAGTCCCAGCTACTCAGGAGGCTGAGGCGGGAGGATTACTTAAGCCCAGGAATTTGAGATCAGTCCAAGCAACATAGTGAGACCCCCTCATCTCTAAAAAATAAAAATTAAATAAATAAAAATAAATAAATTGTGAAAGAACCCTGGTAGGTATTTGCTTTACATCATGGTTAAGGATCCATTGCAAAAATTTTCCTAAAACAAAGGAATGATCTACCTTGAATGTGACCTCACAGCTCTGCTTCTAGAATCAGAAATTGCTTACAGCTTTTACATGACAGTTTTTCCAGTTTTTATACATTAATGTATCAAATTTTAAAATCTTAGGGCAGATTTTTTTGCTGAGTCTACCTCTTGTGAAAGTCGATATTAAAGGCCAGGTTATTATAATAACTCATTGGGGTGCAATTCTTTGAAAAATTATAGAGTCCTTCTCCATCACCCTACTCCCCTTCTCTCCCACCCTCACTGATATACAGACACGTAAATAATATTATTATGCCATGAATGCCATAAAATCAACAGTGCCATAATTGGATTTAACGTTAGTAGTTTTGACTGCTCTTGAGTTATCCCAAAGTTTCTTGATGTGTAGTAAGGAATTGATTTTGCTGAGGTGAGAATTTGAATCAAATGTACTGAGAGGCAGGTTTGTGAATGGTAGTGCGTGCACCTAGCCAGCCATCGGGGTGACAGTGAGGCTTTGTGGTTCACTATTCCTGACACTGTTGCAGCAACTCTCAATTAGGGTCTAAAGGAGTCCCCCGAATTTTTCAGTTACTTTGTTACATATAGTTCCTGGGGGAAATGATAGAATATTATGAAGTTCTTGAATTTTGAGGTTTGCTATGATCTCAGGAACATATTCCTTGCAGATTGCTATGGTCTAAATATTTGTGTCTGCCCAAAATTCATATGTTGAGACCTAACTCCCAAGGTGATGGTATTAAGAGGTGGGTTTTTGAGGAGGTGATTAGCTCATAAAGTCTCTGTCCTCATGGATGGGATTAGTGCACTTATAAAAGAGGCCCCAGAGAGCTGCTTTGCTTCTTCCATGTGAGGATGTAGCCAGAACATGCCATCTATGAAACAGAAGACGGCCCTCATTAGATGCTGAATCTGCTAGCACCTGGATCTTGGGCTTCCCAGTTTGCAGAACTGTGAGAGAGAAATATTTGTTGTTTATAAGTCATCCAGTTTATGGTATTTTTGTTATAGCAGCCCAAATGGACTAAAACACAAGTGATGAGTCTACCATAATATAGTAGCAAAAAGGATTAGGGACAGTTGAAGACCTAGAGTGTTGGACTCATCCTGACATTTCCAACCTTAATCCTGCAGAATAAGCCATAAATCAAGCAGAATCTCTATAATCAGATTCCAAGGGTTTATGCTGTGAGATCACAGAATGTAAACCCATTTTATTTTGTGTTTTACTTGTTAAAGAGACACAAAGCCAGAAGTCGTTATGGTACTGAAAGTTCAGCACTCGTCCCCGAGGCCACATCAGAACAAGGACAAGTGGTTTGAGGAGAAGGAAAGGGAGGTTTATTAATTTGCCAGCAAATGAGGACAGTGGCAGACTCGTATCTTAAGTACCGTTTTCCTAACTATAAACAGAAACACAGAGCTTTTAAAGGGGGGGTTTCAGTTTCAGGGTATTGCTGCTTAATGGTTCTGATCGACTCCATCTCTGGTGAAGACAATCTCCTGACCTCTGCCCAGACAGTTCCACTGAGCCATTTCCTGTGATAGGAAAAAACGAAGAACACTCCCTTGCCCTTCTGACAGGGATGCGTAGTTTAATTCCCAAAAAGCGTTGGGGGTTGTTTAAAGAGACAGCTTGTAAAACACTTTACCCTTTTTCATGCCATTCCGTCTGTTAAAATTAACATCCTGGCTGTAGTCTCTCTATCCACGGCACAGCAATATCCACTCTAAAGTTCAGGAATGACAACAGATCTTGTGGACAAATTAAGAAAAGGGAAAACAAAGGGAGGGTGGGTAGAAAAATAGGGCAGCTTACTTGCTATTTACTGCTGGGATCCTGCAGCATGCAGGAGAATGGCTAGAAACTTGAAGGCCTCCGTGGAAACATATGGTGGTTCTTGGCATTCGTAGTTATAAACTAGAATTGGCTCTTGGAGATGTTGGTTGGAATTCAGGGTTTTGCAGAAATGCCATCATGGACATTTAACCATTATGGTGCCTCTTTATTTTCTTTTATCACCAGAATATGACTTGAGTCCATGTGGCTTCTCTTAGTTTTAAAAAACCATAATTGGGGGAGAGGAGCAAACCAAGTACAAAGGAAAAGCCTTTTATTAACTGGAATGCAAAACCAAATTAGTTTTCTTTACTACAAATAATTAAACACTTATAAACAAGGAAGCTTATCTCATGCATTTAGTAAACATAAAAGCAAAAAATAAAGAGACCCAACAAGCAGCCCATAATATGTGTCAACAGTATTTTTTTAAAAAGAAGCTTTTTATTAACTGGTGTACAAAACAGAATTAATTTTCTTTGTTCCAAATAATTATACAAAAACAGCAAAATAGTGTGTATTTTTTTATTAAATAAGTTTGGTAAAAACAAAAATGAAATGAGGCAAAAATGAAAAAACCTGCCAGCATGACAAAACAGGAGAGGAGCTGAGATTCTGAGGACATGGCACACTTCGGGCAGCCAGGAACCCCAGGAGGGAGTGAGATGAGCAGATTTGTGCCACCTGCCGGAAGGATTTAATGAGCTCAGTCAACCTAGAACGTGATCATGACACTTACCCATCTTACAGAGGTCTCGTGTTCTGGGTTGTGTGCAAATAACAAAATTTTTTGGTAGAGCTGAAAAGGATGTGTTACAGCAAGTGTTACAGTGACCGGTCCCAGGGGAATAACCGAGCAGCACGCAGAGAGTTGGAGGGTCAGCAAGTTTTATTGCCGGCGGCCCAGATGGGGTCAAGCCTCCAAAATCTGAGCACCTCTTCCTGGTTTTTGTCAAGTTTTATACTTTTTGGGGGGGGGTGGTTAATCTTAACAAATCACACACAAGTATAAATGGTCGACCAATTAGCAAAAAGATTTAAAAGTTATCCAATAAACAGTAATTCTTATAAGCAGTATAATTATGATAGGCTTATAACAAACAGTATAGTTATGATAGGTTTATAACAAACAGTATAGTCATGACAGGCTTGTAGCTTCACTTAACTGTTTTGCAGTTTTAGCTTGCAAGGCTGACAGGTGTCAGCGTCTACTTTAGCTGCTTTGTGGTTTTAAGCAGAATCAGCACGGAAATTCCCCTAGTATGCATGGAAATTTCCCTAACAGATGCAGCAAAGGGCAACTTGGTTGCCAAAGAGCCAAGTGCGCCCCCATTTTCCCAGCACAGAGCTGACCTAGTACACCAGGTGGGCCTGGTCAAGAGATACCGCAATGCAGGACAGATGCAGCAGGTCCAGCCTGGCCACCTGCACAGCAGGAATCAAGCAGCAAGAAGAAGGTCAAGTGTTGGAAACCCAGCATCCTTCTAACACCTTCTGGCTTCTGGAACCTCTGCCCTGCCACCAAAGGACCGAGTTTCTGTCTCTGTGATCTGGGATCTGTTCTCGGACTGCTTCCTCCCTGCTCCTTCCCATTCTCCTTGTGTGACCTTGAATAGAGCTCATATATTTCAAGAGCATTCTATGAACTTGCATAGTTCTCTTCACTGCAAATAATTAAACACATACAGGCAAAGAAGCTTATTTGAGGACTTTAGTAAAAATAAAAGGACAAAATTAAAAGAGCCAACAACATAAAAGTGCACAGTGTATGTCAACAGTATGTCAAGAGCCTCCCCATGAACCTTCTCCTGCTCAGCTAGAACCTTCTTGAGATCTCCCACTGGTCTGGCCCACATGAAGGCTTAATAAGTATTGCTAGAAACAATACTTTCAGATTCTTCCACCTGCTGCATTAGTTGTCAGCCACATTTAGTTAACAGACCAAAGGTGGCAAGTTGGGCAAATTTTTTGTGACACTTAGTCTCCTTGTCACTGCCCACAGCCACTTTCAAGAACTGTTAGCCCTTGTCAATATTCTGCTTGGCAAAAATCACCTCCTTCCCCAAGTTTGCTTCTGAAACTGCCCATACCACCTCTTCTACAACGTGTACTAGTTACCAAGGATCAGAAAGATAGCCCCAAGGCCCTAACCAAAGAAGCATCCATCCGTGTCTAACAGACTATAATTTATGTTCTTTGACTTTCCCACTTTGTGGGCAGTTTTGCATTCAGGCTACAAAGTGAGGGCCCAGAACAAAAGCTGAGGCTCTGGACTTCTCTAAATGGTGTTTGTTGTTCCCTCCTCTTGGCCACTTCTTTGTGCCCCAAGGGCAAAGGGGAAGTGGAAAAGGGCTGGGGGCCAGCAGGATTCTCAGCTGCCCTAATTGAGAGTAGCTTGGCTCTGGGGCAGGTGAGCAGGTGGTAGAGGTGCTCCTTGTGGAGTTGGGACTTACAGATGGTCCAAGGAGCTGCTCCATCTTCAGTGGCTTGCTCACAGCGCGTGCTTACTCTGTTGGGAGTTGTGGTGATGACTAGAAGCCCAAACTATTGTTTTAGGGCTCAGACTCCTCAGGGTGAGGGTCCTATCAGGGATTCTGTGGGTGACTGTGCAAGTTCTGCATCAGAACATCCAGGGAGTTCTGATGAAATCCTCGCCCATGTGGAGGTGTGCAGGGCAGAGCCAGCCTGGCAGAGGCGGCATCTGCACCCCTCTGCGGAGCCTCCCCATGAAACTTCTCTGTACTCCGCAGCCCCTGGCTTGATAGGTGGCTCTGGCTTAAATACTGGTCACTTTCTTCCAGGCCCTGACTCAGGTCCCAAATTGCGTTTCCTACTTTTAGCTCCTTCCCTTCTCTTGTGTCATCCTAGGTGGTTTACAAAGAAGTTGTGCTGTTAAATTCTAACTAATATTATACAAATAACTTCCTGCTTTTTAATTTTTACACAATTCAAACTCAAACCCAGAATTTCCATAACATTCCTCAGCCACCATAGTTCAGGGAGCTTAGTTGTGGGTAGTTAAGCAGAGCTCTTGACAAATAGCGTAAGTCTCTCAAGCTCCTCTCTGCCAAAGTGACAATGGACTAAAACAGGGAAGCTTTGAAACTCACAATGTCCAGACTAAAGCTCTCCAGGTAATTCAATATGCAGTTAGGTTGCAAACCAGTGTTGTCTCAGAGGGTTTTGTAACAGAGGAAATGGCCTGAAAGACTGGCAAAAATATTTTCTGTCTCTTTAGCACATCCTGCACTCCTTTTTGAGAACTAAAGCCTGCGTCTCTGCCTCAGGCCAGTGTTTGGGGGGGGCAGGGTGAGTCTTTTGTTATTTGTGCAACAAGAGATGGCTCAGGGCAAAACTGGTAAAGGGAGGTCCTGGGTAAAGGTCAGGAGATTGTCTTCAGCAGAGGTGGGAAGATCAGAATTATCAACTATAGTTGAACAGTCATTGCCTGAAGCTGAGAACCCATCCTTTAAAAGCTCTGTATTTCTGCTTGTTATTAGGACCATGGCATTTCAGACAGGAGTCTCCATCCTCCTCCTTTTGCTGACAAAGTAATAAATGTCTCTTTCCTTCCTCCCCAAACTACTTGTCCCTGTTCTTCTGATTGGGCCTCGTGGACAAGCGCCAAGTTTTCACTAACAGTTTCTGCTAAAACCCTGTTGGAGGGTTCTATTATACCATGTCAAAAATTCCTTTAACCAAAATGGAGTCTTTGTAATAGTGAGGTATCCAGCGGTTCTTTAAGACCACAAGCTACAGTCACCGTCAGAAGTTCTTAAAACAGTACTCAAAAAATTAAAAATAGAATTACCATATGATTCAGCAATTCCACTTCTGGCTATATACCCAGAGAATTGAAAGCAGGAACTCAAACAAATATTTGTACATTCAGTGTTATTTATAATAACCAAAAGATAGAAGCAACCCAGGTGTTCATCAGTGCATGAATAGATAAACCAAATGTGGTATATTCCTACAATGAAATATTATTTAGCCTTAAAAAGGAGAGAAATTCTGACACATGCCACAATATGAGTGAGCATCAAAGACATCATGTTAAGTGAAATAAGTCCGATAGAAAAGGCCAAATACTGCATGATTCCCCTTATGTGAGGTACCTAGAAAAGTCAAATTAATAGAGACAGAAAGTAGAATGTCATTGCCAGGGCCGAGGGGGAAGGGGAAATGGGAAGTTATTGTTTAATGAGTATGGAGTTTCAATTTTGCAAGATGGGAAGAGTTCTGTGTATGGATGGTTGGTGATGGTAGAACAACAACGCAAGTGTACTTAATGCCATTGAACTTATCATTAGAAATGATACATTTTATATTATCTATATTTTACCACAATTTTTGTTAAAAAGGAAGTTTTTAAAATGGTTGTCTAAGTACTTCCGTAAATGTGTGAGCATATTCTTGCATCGCACAAGCCAGAAGACCCATCCTTGGTAGTGATTTCATTTTATTGAACAAAAGGCATGGTATGAATGGGTAATGAAGGGAAGCAAAATCAGTTAATAAATATCCTAGAGGGATCAAGTAATTTTTATTAACATCCAAGAGGTGAAAGGCATCACTACTTTATTACTTAGATTGTAGTACACAAATTGGTAGCAAGGAAAAAACCAAATACACCAACAAAAAAGTCATCGTATGCCAAAGTTTGATATTTGTGTGGCCTCCAAATCTCAAACTGAAGGACCACAGAGCTGGAGTTCTTTCTCTAAAGGCTGTTGAACTAAACTTGCTGTGGTGAGAAATTGTCAAGCAGTTTGAGTATGATCGCTCGTGGGTCTCACAAGTTCGCAGGTGGAGCCCATAGCCAACGTGGCTGCAACGTGGTAACCACTGACGTTCTCGCCTCCTAGCTGAGCAAGTGTACGCGGAGACTGGACACCAACAGGGCTCCAGAACAGATTATGGCTGTGGACAGTATTAAAGGGCAGAATGCACAGGACATAATGAAGTACGGCAACTTAAACCATTGCATAGCTGTTTGAAAAAAACTGAAGAAGGCAGAGTGCCTGCAGATCAGTGGGGATATGGTTCTTAAAGAAGGTGAAATGTCATCTGAGCAAAGATTTGGGGCAGGATGTGGATTCAAGAGATTTTAAGTGCCCATGAGGGAAGGCCTGAAGGGTTCATGGTCATTTCTGCTAGGCTGATAGATGCTCAGAGTGGTTATTCTTGGTCCTATCTTCAGCTCCCTCACACACAGACACACTCACTAAATCAGTAATTTAGAAAGAGAGGCAGAAAAAAAGAGAGAGAGAGAGAGAGGAAGTTTGATTTCCACTTCAGAAAAATAAATTCACCTTATTTCATTTATTTTTAAATCTGGCATCAAAAATATATTTCTGATTAGAAAATTAATAAACAGTACAAAAATTAAAAATGTGTAAGTTAGAAAGTAAAGTTTGCCATAATCTCTCTACCTTGCCCAACATAACTACTGTTAACAATTTGAGTTATATTCTTACAGACCTTCTCCATGCATATGACAATATTAAAAATATATATTTAATGGATTCATGTAAAATATACTTCTTCTGTGTTTGCACATGTGGATCTACTTAAGTCTTTTTATGAGCTTTCATTCCATTATATGGATATAACTTAATCTGTACTGAGACATTTGTATTGTTTTCTTTTTTTCCTATTTCAATCAATGCTGCAATGTGCATCCTGGTACTTCCGTTTTTGCTCACACGTGTAAGTTCAAGGGAAACTGCTGGGTCCAAGAACATTCTCCCCTGGTGTTTAATTATTAGGTTTAGAATTTTATCTGCTAGAAATCCACACGTAAATAAGGGCAAAAGGAGATTCACTGAGCCTTATGTCTGCTCGTACTTTACAGAAATACCAGCGAAGGCGGAAGTACAGCCTGTCCGCTGTCTTTCATTCGGCCACCATGTTGCAGGATATTGGTGAAGCCATTCAGTTTGAAGTCAGCATTGGGAACTACGGCAACAAGTTCGACGCGACCTGTAAGCCTTTGGCATCAACCACGCAATACAGCCGCGCCATATTTGATGGTAAGATTGGCACCAACCATTCTCTGCAGCACAAGACAGGAAGCATGTGCTGTACCCTCTCTCTGGCAACCATATCCCCAGCATATGGTTAGAGGAAAGGAAAAGGTTGAATGAGGAAGAGAGTGTAGTCAGAGTTCAGACACCTTCAAAATAGCCCAGACCCTTGGCCGGGCGCGGTGGCTCACGCCTGTAATCCTAGCACTCTGGGAGGCCGAGGCTGGTGGATCGTTTGAGCTCAGGAGTTAGAGACCAGCCTGAGCAAGAGCGAGACTCTGTCTCTATTTTTTATAAAAAACAAAATAAAAAAAATAAATTAAAAAAAAATTGGCCAGACCCAAGAAGTTGTAGGTCTTGTTGCCAGGAGCTGAACCCCAAACCCTCCTGCCCGGCTTTAATGCCAGCCTTACCTTGTAAAGTCCCAGGGTGATGACTCTGCTAAATACTGAGCTCCCCCAAAGCAGCTCCTGCCCCTACCAAACCCTAAACCTTTCTTAGATTGAGTAGTTGAAGAGGATGGGGCTCTGGCCCAGGCCCTGGAAACTCAGGCTTCTGGTTGTAACTCATCAGCACTCTGACCTCAACCACACCACTTCATTCCAACCCTCAGCATCTCCGTCTTCCCCAGGGTTGCTGTGAGGATTAAATAGCTCTATTTGAACATGATGAGTGAGAAATGGTCACCACTTTTAAAGAGCTAACATTCTAGTGTGTAAAATAAATCATAATAGAAGGCAAGGTATGAGAATGCCCTAATAAAAGTATCAAAAAATGGTTTGAGAGTATAGAGAAGGGAGAGAGGCATTCTGATCAAATAACCCAACAGTACTGCCACAGTTTTTACCTAATTTTTGTACAAGCAGTTTTAAAGAATAAAATGCCCTAGAAAACATCAGCTAATGATTCTTAATCACAGTAAGGCTCTAAGTAATACCAAACCCCATGTAGCCAGCTAAGGCTTTCAAAGAACAGAAAATTCTTTCCTTTTGCCCCACTTCCAACAAAAATATTTACTTATAATAGCAGTTTGCAGGGACAAACACATTCCATCTAACCTCCTATGCTCTCTATATTTTCTGCCACCACGTTATGTAATCATCGTTGATGTTCAGACACATGACCTTGAATCATTAAAAGATCTTGGGGCGGTTATACTCTGTTTACTAGGGTATTTTAGAGAGATTTTTAAAATGGGCTGGTTGAGAAAGAACTTTCTATCCCTCAGTTGCTTAATTGAATAAAATCAAAGAACCCGAACCATACCCTAAGCATATGGCTTCATCAGCAGCTCAGTCTGCACGTCTCTTTAATAAACATGTTGTCTATTTTAAGTGTCCAAGATTCACTGACCCCCATGTTTTATACTAGGGAACTACTATTATTACTTGCCTTGGGCCCACACAAAGCCAGTTGTTACCCTGACTTCATACTGGGAGGATATTAGTCATCGCCTGGATGCTGTCAACACTCTCCTAGTTATGGTAGAACGGTTGGTAAGTTTACCCTTTCTCCGTTTCCCTTTACCAGACAGAGTGAACTATGTATTAGTTAGGATACAGGCTAGGCCACTATGACACAAGATCTCAAAATACAGTGGGCAACAAGGTAACAGCAATTTCTTTAGTAACAGCTGAGGTTGAGGGTTCAAAGCCAGTATGGAGGGTCAGTGGTATTTGGGGACCCAGGCTCCTCCCCCCGGTTTCTCTGCCATCACTAAGGAGTTATCCCTTCCAGCCTGAAGTAAGGGGAAAAGAGTGAAGAGAAGATGACACAGGCCTTTCCCTTTAAAGGAAAGACCCAAAGGTGACTTGATTTCTACTCAGGTTCTGTTGGTCTGAATACAGTCACACAGCCATATCTAACTATGAGGAAGCTGGGGAATGTAGTCTTATGCCTGGGCAGGCGTATACCCCAATAAAATTTTCTCACCGTGGAAGGGTGGAAGGTGAATGTGGGGGATGGAGTGGAAACTCATAGTTTCTTCCACAATTTGTATGTGGAGAGTGGCTCATTCCAATAGCAACATGCAACTCTTAGAGCTTTGTTGTTAGTGCAGTAAAAATCTCCACTGTAGGAAGAGGTGGCTTAAAGGAACCAGTGTCTGACACTTTCCACTCTTGCTACAGAACAGAGGAACTTTCCTTGTTTGGGTGTTTGTGGGTTTCCTCTGGTGAAAACTGCATAGACATGGTATCTGTGATTATCCATCTAGTTGACACTGGTCAGCTAGGTTGGCGTGGAGAATGGGGATGTGTTTGGGATATTTCTAATTAAGTCAAAGACATTGAGTTACTCCTATTTGATAAAATCTATCTGGCATCAGTGTTTTGATTTCCAAATTATACTAATATTAATTTTTTCTAAGATCTAATCTCTACCAGGGCTGGACCAAGACATATGGGGTTTGGGGAGTATACCTGACCTAAGACTCTATGGCAAAATCTAAAAGTATTATTTTATGTTACAAAGACAACATGGTAGGATAATAAGAGGTTTAAATTAACTTAATCATAACTGTTAATATAATAAAGCTGCAACCGATATGCAATGTAATCGTAGTATTAATTTCCAGTCCTCCTTAAGGACATTCGTAGAGAATTAGTCACACCTGTATTCTAATTATGTTTTGGATGTTCTTCAGCTCTTTCCATCTGGTTCTTCTTATCAACTCTCTCCAAGCTGTCCTAATTCCATGCTACTCTGGACAGGACGGTGACTTTCCATGAAGAGGACTTTTGGGACTCATGGTGGGCACTCCCTTGACCTCTCTTTTGGCAGATGCTCAATGTAACACAACAGTATGTTTGGGGCTTGTCTTGCATTTTCTCTGCCCCAGCCTTGGAATCACCATTTCTCCAAGGAGCCCTGGTTCCTTTTAGTGACAAATGCCATTTAAAAAACAAGATCTGGTCACTAAGTGCCCACTACTACTGAAATGTTGTTGTTTCTGGGCTTTCTCTGCCGGCACACACACACACACACACACGTATATTTATTTCTCTATCCATCCATATACTAAAAACCATGAGTTCATAAAGATGCCTCCAATCCCAGTCCAATACCACAGGGTTTATTCCAGCCTTCCCTCTTTCTATATTTATAATTTTCTTCTCCAACAGTGAGAAATCTGGCTTTTGTTATCTCCAATATATTTACTCATTTGTTCAATTGTAAAATCCATAGATAAGTCACTGTGAAAAATAAGCCTACTAATTAGGGTTCGACAAGTTTATGGGTTTTTGTTTCTGTTTTTGCCTTTGAGAGTACGTAGTCAAAATATTGTTTTCAAAAGTTACTCAAGTTAGTTCAGGGTAATTATGTCATTCATCTGAAATATAATTAGATCTATTTTGTTTCTGATTATATTCCATTTTAGGGTTCTCTCCCCTATCCTTACTGGTTTCATTTTGTTTGTTTTTTGAATATATAAATATTTACATGGGTTCAAAGGTCAAACTATATGAAAAGGTTGTCCTATTACATAAACATATTAGTATTAATTGTATTTTGATCAAAAATAAATAGTTCTAAGCTATGGTGAGTATTATTAAAGGAAAAAAAACCCTTTAGTTTTTCCGTAATTGAGCCTTTTTATGTATTTTTTTTTCTCGAAAATAAAAGTTAAACCTTTACGGGGTATAATAGCATAATGCACAATTACCAATTATGTCCTCTCTTTTCAAATTCTTCAGCAATCAAACGTAGAGGCTCTAAAATCAGGGATACAAGGTAAAATTCCTGAAAACCAGCTGGCTGAATTGTGGTTGAAGCTGATAGACGAAGTTATAGAAGACACAAGGTATAGTGATCTTATTTCTCTCTCAGAATTTCCAGCCAAGCTCTGCTCCCTGAAATCCTAAGACTGTAAGAGCCTCTGGAATTGTTTCTAGTGTTTGTCTAAAAAACGAATTTGAACTATTCAAGCTTCTTAAAAGGCTCTCAGTGGGAGGAGTCTCTGAATCACCACCAGGAAAAGCTCTACTTTCTGATTTGGTGCCAATTCTAAAGTAGCCTGGGGAGGCTGGGGCCCCACACCCAGAAGCATGTCTCAGGGTAGCTTGGGGCAAGGGACAGGGGAGGGGCGGAGGGAGCTAGTGTGATGCCCACCACCCTGGAGAAGGGTGGCATCCGGCTTCCACCGAGAACGGGGTCTGGGGGTGAAGCAGCAATTTTACCATTCAGGACAATGTTCCTAATTCATAAACATATTTTTAAAAACGGCCTTTTTACTTATTCTTTTACTAAATGCCTAATATACACTGTGGCCAAGCCTCTGTTAGGCCCCATAGATTCGACTTAACCACAGGACCTTTTGTAACAGTGACTTGGGGAAACAGCTCAGATCTTTTATCATTTGGAAATCAAAGCGGGAAGTGATTCATTCCAAACTCGTTTTCAATGTTGGCTAATAAAGCAGTGGACAGGGAAGTTCCAAAAGAAAAGCACACTGAATGCTTTCCACAAGCAGCAAGAACCACGGCCTTTCTCCCCGCTCCCAGCTAATGCCTAAGTCGCCCTGTCTTCTTGTGCCTTCTAGCGGTTGAGCCAGGTAATTGCAACGCGGCCGAAATGAAAGCACTACCGGAGGCTTAAGTTCAGAATTTTAGAGCTGGGTCCTAACCAGCATCTCCTCCAGTCTCCTTGTCTTGTAGATGAGATATCAGAGCCCCAAAGAAGTGAAATGACACGTCTGATGCCCAGAGTTGGTTTACCAGCTCAGCCCCTTTTCCTGCCACATGTTCCATAGTCAATATCTGTCAAAGGGCTCCGGTGTGACTTCTGATCAAACAGCTTTCAGATAAACTTTTGCCTCAAAGAATCACTCCAGGGACTTAACCCTTCCAATGCATTGCTATAGTTATTAACGAAACCAAACAGAAACATTTGGTAGTAACTTTTATATAGAAAATATCTGAGAAATGTAAGGTTTGCTGAGCAAATCACAGACATATCTATTTACACTTCTGATGTGAGCTGTTCTTGAAGAATCAAATTGGAATCATTTTCAACTTTCTGTAACAGGAAATTCAGTATTTAAGGGAAGTCATGCTAGGATTTCCTTCATTTAAGAAGCCGGGTAAAATTCAAGTGAGTGGAAATTCTAGGTGGGGACAGTGTGAGTAGAACTTCCTGAAACTGGTGACAACCTCACCCTGTGTCCCACCAGCTGCCATAGCGGGAGGGAAGGCTTGGCAGAGGACAACTAATTCTGGCCCCAGCTCGGCTATTCTCAGTAACTTTTGGCGGTCCTGTCACTATACTTCCCAGTTCTCATTTTGAATGGGGGCTTGGCCTGTGTAAATGATTCTTAATCTTTTTGGAGCTCATGGGCCCCTTGGAGAATCTGATGAGATGATGTCAATGATGAAGATGGCAATGAGATGACGGTGATGGCAGCATTATTTAGACTTTACAATGCAACTGTTCCAAATGTTCTCCATATGGTCATTCATGTCCTTCTCACAACCACCATGCAAGGTGTTTCTCACATTTGAAGGTAGGAGAACAGGAGAGTAGGAGACAGCCAAGATAACAGAACCGGTGAAGAATAATGGAGCCACGATTAGTACCCAACTAGTTGGCTCCAAAACCTGCATTCATCATTATGTCACACTGCATGTTAACACAGACGCACATTGTTTTCTTAATAAGTTCTGGGCTTTCACGGACCTCCTGAGGCTCACCTGTAGACTGCCTGAGGATCCCTGGTCCCTAGGTTAAGAACCCTGAAGCTAAATGATTTCTAACCTCCCTTCCTCTTCCAACATGTTGTGGGTCCCTACAGTGATTCTAGGAAGAAAAAGAGGGGAAAGCCAGTTTCTCCCAGCTGCTGCTGCTTCATCTTCTTTCCAGTATCTCCTTGGGCCTTAGGTTAATCCCTAAGGCTTAACATTGCTTTGGGATTTGAATCCCCCTGTCTCCCTCCTGAGCATTAAGAGACCATCTGGCAGGTCTGCTCCGGCAACTCAGCTCCACCTTAAATCAGGCAATGCATGTGGAATCAGTTAGGAAATTGATGTGGTTCACAAGATGGAAACCTAACATAAATGAACTCAACAGTTCTGTTTCTCTCTCTTTCTTCCTTTTTTCCTTTTTTTCTTTTTTTTATTTTTTAGATACACGTTGCCTCTCACAGAAGGAAAAGCCAATGTTACAATTCTGGATACTCAGATCCGAAAGCTGCGGTCCAGAGCGCTTTCCCAGATACATGAGGCCGCCGTGAGGATGAGGTCTGAAGCCATAGATGTGAAGTCCACACTGGTGGAAATTGAAGATTGGCTTGATAAATTAATGCAGCTGACTGAAGAGGTAAGACCTTTAAACTACACAAATGTCACCTGGTATGGAGGAAGGATTCTATGGAATGGTGCCAAGGATGGGAGTGGTAGAAGGAGAATCTATTACATTATCTTAGCTATTGAGCAGATCTGACAGATTATAAAAATCAAGGAGTCACTGGACTGGGAAGGCTAATGGGCAATAGGGATGAATGTCATTGAAATCAGGGTAGGAGAAGAATTTTGAGTTGTTGATCCTAGAAATGTCTTTAAGAATGAACAAACCATCATTTTCACAGTACTGTCAGAGAATATTTTGAATGACGTTGCAGCAGATCTATGTAGTACAGAGGATTAAAATGTCAGCTTTGGTTGGGATCAGAAAGAGCTGGGTTTGAATCCTGGATCTACCGTGTATAACTTTGGGCAAGTTATTCGACCTTTCTAAACCTAGTTTCCCCATCTGTAAAATGGAGATAAATATAGTGCTCAGTTTGTATTGTAGCATTGGTGTGTGAAGATTTAAGGACAATGAATGGGAAGGGCTTAGCACAGTGCAGGGCACACAGGAGGTGCTGGATAAATGTTGGCTGCCACTGTCCTTCAGAGATCAGGACAGTAGGTAATAATGCATTTGTGAGTAGAAATACATTTGGAAAAAACACAGGGTTACAGGTAATTTTTATTTTCTACTTTATATGCTTTGGTGCTTCCACAGTTTTCTATGGTGAACTTAGATCTCCCTTATAATCAGAAAAAAATAGGTTTTTAAAAACTAAATTAATATTTCAGATTTGGCAAATATTGGATTGTGAGACAGAGACACTCCGTGTCCCGTAAAACATATGCAACCTGTAACCCTTTGACTGCCGCTGCCGGCTTTCTTCAAATGATGCTTGAAATGCGAGGGAGTATTTCAGAGCAGAGTAGGTAGGGCTTTTGCCAGGTGAAACTGCCCCTCTGCTTCCCTCTGATCCCTGTGGCCACCCCCAGCCCGCCTCCTAGTCCTGCAGGCTCACGATGTGGTCCTAGAAGATATGAGTCCCAGGAATTTAGGACAGAGCCCTAACCATGGCATTTCTGTGCTAAATGGAGCCCCGAGGGTCCAGTCTGTGGGATCTTAAGTCCTCCAGACTAACCGTAACTTTGCCTCCTTTTTCACCAACCCTCGTGACCAGCCGCAGAACAGTATGCCTGACATTATCATCTGGATGATCCGGGGAGAGAAAAGACTGGCCTATGCACGAATTCCTGCACATCAGGTTTTATACTCTGCCAGCGGTGAGAGCGCCTCTGGGAAATACTGTGGGAAAACCCAAACCGTCTTTCTGAAGGTACGCGTCTCCTCTGTGTGATGTGAAATACACCCAAATGCAAACCCTGTGTTCCTGAGAAGGGGCTGCGTTATGTAACCGGCTGATTATTGAATGGCAAGGGTGGTTGTGATCAATTCTAGCCCGTTCTGGTCCCTTCCTCTTGGGCGAGAATTCTCAGAGAGTGACTTGAGGTTGACTGGCTTTCAATCAACGACACCTCCTTAGATGTTTTTGTGACATCCATATTATCATGGCATTGTGAATGCTCTGCTTTCTGGCATGAATTTTCCACTTACTTCTAATGTCTCATGCAAAGCAATGCTTTTCTTCCCTTCATTCTAGTGAGCGTTGGGGGAAAAAAGAGAAGGTAGTATACATAGTCCATGGAATCTATTGCTGTAGCCACATGGGTCCTCAGATTGAAACATTTTGATAATTCCTACTTTAGGGCAGAGATTCTGAACATTTTTAGAGTCATGGACTATTGTAAGTGCCTGATGAAAGCTATTGGTCCTCTCCTTGGGGGGAATGCACACTGCTTGTGCATCCAATATTTTGCGTAGAATTTGAGAGCTTCATAGAACCCACAAGCCTATCTTAGAACCCTGTATTAGTAACTGCTCTGTGTGTGCACACGGGGAACCAAAGGAGGGCCTGGGACTGGAAACAACAGCATCAGAATAGTTCCCGTTTGTGTGTCTTGACATCCTCTCTCTGACCAACCCCAGCTGGTGTTCATTGGATTTAGGGGACAGAAATAAAAATCAAGAAGAGAAAAAGTAGAGTCAGGGGAGAGTGCTCTCAAAACAAGGAAATATCTGCTAACTTTTAATAAATTTGCTCATTTCTCTTTAATCAGGAGGATGTAAATAGAATCAGAGTGATTACGTTCTTTCAAGTGTCTCTTGGTGGAATAAATTTTACTTAAGATAGAACCACAATTATAATTGACCTCAGCAGTGGGTGGAAGCAAACTGATTAATCAATAAAACTTCACAGGGGGCGGGAG